ACACAGGACACCGTGAGTCCTCATGATTAAGCGTAAACACAGAATGGTCCGGTATGTCTAACAACGTGGGTGGTCTTCATCAGAGAACCTTTAGTGGAGTGGTGGGAAGCAAGGCTGGTTTGCAGTGAATGGAAGTTAAGCACTAACTCCATGGACACAGAAAGCTTGACACACAAACCTCCTCCCCCATGATTCGGTCCTTCACAAACTTGCTGGCCTTATTTCTCGTCATGCGCCATTCAGGCCCTCCCATCCATTCATTAAAAGTTACTTTCCATAACACAAACATACCAGACTGTTGGCTGGATTTTCTCACAATCCTCCTGCTACTTCCATCAAGTCCCACCTTGTGGGACTCCAAATAGATATAACCCCTTTTCTCTGAGCTCATACTGCACGTTTGGTATAACCCACCCTGGATACCAACCCAAGATGTGTGTGATTGTGATTACAACCTGTACCTCAACTCCTGGAAGCCCAGACGTTTATGAATGTGACAGATTGCAGAAATGGCAAAAAAATTCCTCTCAGCCCTGATTCATACTCCTTTGCAAGGGGATTAAGCTGCTTCATCCATCAAAACATGGAGCCTGTTTCTTCGGTAATGATTTACATCTTGGTCACGCGGCTTGAGTGGCCAAATGGGACACTAGAAACATGACCCAAGAAAGGCGTGGAAAGCACTCATCCCTGGCTACGCTAGGGATAAGATCATGGTGTAAGCTAGCATAATCTAGCTGGCTAGAGAAAGAAGCCACATGGAAAAGAAAGGCATCCCAGCTGATACTCAGAACTTGCCAGCTACGTGAATGAAGTCATGCTGGACCAGAAGCTCTGAGCCAGCCTAGACAAAAAGAACTGTCTCATTAGTCCACAGAACAATCACGAGATAAAAATATTTGATCCTTTTAAGTCACTAAATTCTGCGGTGGTTTGTTTCACAGCAAAAGCTAAGAAAGTGGACTAGAAACCTCAAAAAAGTGCACTTATTTTGTTAAGATTCTCATGAAAACCCAGGGAGTGAGAGATTTCAGAACTGGTGAGAGTTGTGTCCTTCAAGCTTACACTATTCAAGGTCACATTCTTCAAGGGCACTTACTTCCCCAACATTTTTTAAAACTCCTTTTATCTATAGGTTACAATAGGAAGGGGCAGACTCCCAGTAAATCCAAAGGACCTGGAGAGAGATGGAAAAGGTCACTGCTGAGAATACAATTGCAAGGGACGCATTCAGCCAATGATCTAAGCAGGTGAGTTTGTGCAGAAGGAGCGGCATTGAGCAGCAGGAGGTCACAAGGACAAGGCTGCTCAGGGCTGCACTAGTAGGAAGAAGAAGCTGTAATTCAGAGAAAATAGTAAACTTAGAGACTGAGAACAAAATCACAGATTTGAACGTGGAATACATTTCCTCTTCAAATGCGGGCAACTGATGCCGCGTTTATCTCAGACAGGCACAGAGATGCATCGGATTTTGCCCCATGGGTAAATTCAAAACTTGTGAAATTATCAGTGCCCTCCAGGAACATGGCAACTATCACATTTTGTGTTACAGTGATTTGATATCATTATCAATGCCCATAAATAACAGGATTATTATTATTTGGATGCCAAGATGTTTATTTTGGAGTTTATCATTAGATTAAGTCAAACAGTTAAAAATAATGAATGCCGCAAGTGCTATTCTTAAGGGTTGCTCAGTCAAAGAAAAGGAGCTAAACTTTAAGTGTCTGCTAAACCAAAGGAGCATTTTGCTCTTAGATCTTCAACGTGTCTTAGCTCTAAGATTCAGCTAACATTAAATGAATCACTACACCCAAATATATTCTCCAACCATTGTATTTTTTTCTTTTTAATTTAAAAGCCCAACTTGTCCTAAGACATTTCCATTTATTTTTGCCCAAGGGGATCAGAGATACATTTTGGGTCAAAACACATTAGAGTTTCAGATGAGTTTACAAATGCTTATGTCTTAGAGGAAAAGACATGCTACCCTTTGTGTCTGGGAGGGCAAAACTGCAATTTTGTGGTATAAATAGTCTAACGAACATCAACCTCCTTAACATACAAGCACTATGACTACCTCATGTAATATAAATACTTGTAACCTTTGGGAAAATGCATGCTATAAATAATGGATACATACACATGTTGTTGAAACAGCAGAGGCATTTAATAGTGTTATCATTCGTCTCAAGAATAATTAACTCGATGTAACTAAGAGTGTTAATTAAACAAATATCAAGCATTTATTGAGTACCTTATGTTCATACATTTGTTCAACAAATATTTAATGAGTAGCTCCTGTGTCCTAGATACTATTTCTAGATGCTGATATATGTGATAAATAAGGAGAGCACGGCCACCTGACTTCACAGAATCTAGTGAGGGGATCAGAAAATAAATAAGTTAACAAATATATTTTTTTTAAATGAACTTTTGTGGTATATGCATTAAATGAAATACACAGGGCACCATGATAGGGAGAAGAAGAGAAGAACTGATTGACTTAAGGTGATTCCTGGAGGACATGACATTAAAGCTCAGACAAGAAAGGGGAAAAAGCCAAGTAACAAACAAGCAGGACACGCCCAAGGAGAAGGGGAAAGGCAGTGCTTACCGCAGGGGATCAAGCATAAAGGGCAAAGGAAAAGACAGAACTTGCAGTACTGTGTGCACTGAATGGGTCTTCTAACTCACAACCTCTTTCTCTACAAAATTCCTTCGTCTGAAAGGCAATGCTTACTTGGCAATGTGATTGAAAACATGGCAAAATTTACTGCAGTGGGCACATAAAAGTGTTCACCATGTACTACTCCACACATTTGTTACCCTTTCCTTTTAAATAATGTATCTCACAGAAGCCCAGAGATTTTTTTGCACTTGGTAAGTAGTGTTTTTCATTGGCCAGAGCATTGATTAGAAGTTATGTGAAATGATTTTTTTGCTCTCAGAGTAGAGAATACAGTTGTGTACGTAACTGATCCAAGCCTCTGCAACACTGAACATTTGTCTTATTCAAAATTAATTTCCTGCTAATAACTGTCATTTTACTATATTTCCTCATTGCCTATTAGCACTAGTAATGATATTCCTTCTAAACCGTTATTTGAAAGCCATAAAGGTTATTGTTTTGTTTTGATTATTAATTTGTTTGTTTTACTGTAAGGGAGTAACTCTTCACAGGACAATGAGTAGAAAACTACAGAGCAAGATCGAGATGAAACACAGGGAAAAGGTCAAGCTCCTTCACTAATAAGGAGCAGGCTTCCTATACTACCAAGGTCGAAGGATCCTCTGTAATGTGTAAAGAATGGAAAGAAAGAATGGCATGTACTCATTAGGCATGTGCTATGGTTTTAATGTTCCCTTTAAAACTCACTGAAATTAAATTTCCAATGTATGATAAGAGGTAGGACCTTTAAGAGGTGATTAGGTCATGAGGACTCTTCCCTCGTGAATGGGTGAATGCCGTTATCATAGGAGTGAGTTGTTTATCACAGAAGTTTCGCTCTCTCTGCCTTCTGTCTCAGTTTGTTCTAACACTATGTTATGACACAGCAAGAAGGCCCTGTCCAGATGCAGCCCCTCAGCCTTGAACGTCCCAACCTCCAGAACCATGAGCCAAATAAACTTTTTTTAAATTAATTACCTAGTCTGTCGTATTTTGTTACATCAGCAGAAAATTGACTAAGATGGTATGTTAGATTGTTATGAAAGGTCAGGTGAGTGGATGCAATTGACTGACCTAAGAGGAAAGTGAGACTTTAGGGCTCAATAATGAGCAGAGCTGTAGGAGATGTCTGTGTTAGGCTGGGTGCCTCAGCTGGGCACAGGAGGCTTTGAGGCTCTTGACCTGGGGTTTAATAGGAATTTTAGTGGTTTGGAAAAATACTTGGTCAGAGCTGAAGATTGGAATGGTGTCTTCTCTTTTAAAGAATAACTTTTGGGGGCCAGGCGCGGTGGCTTACGCCTGTAATCCCAGCACTTTGGGAGGCCGAGGCGAGTGGATCATGAGGTCAAGAGATCAAGACCATCCTGGTCAACATGGTGAAACCCCGTCTCTACTAACAATACAAAAAATTAGCTGGGCACGGTGGCGCTTGCCTGTAATCCCAGCTACTCAGGAGGCTGAGGCAGGAGAATTGCCTGAACCCAGGAGGCGGAGGTTGCAGTGAGCTGAGATCGCGCCATTGCACTCCAGCCTGGGTAATAAGAGCAAAACTCTGTCACAGAAAAAAAGAAAAGAATTACTTTTTGCAGTGTGCTTAATTAATCTACAAATGAACACATTTGCGTAAAAATGTTCATTATCACCTTAACATTCTTTAAGAAGAAAGTCGTAGCCCTCACTCTAGCTGAGATAAAAGCCCTTGTAGTCTGTTTCTTCAGCCTCCAACATAGCGGCGTCCAGTCATGTCCTCCCACATTCAAATTACCAAACACTAACGTTTGAGTCCAAAGAATGTTTCTGTTTAAAATATCTTTATTCCCACTTACCAATAATACACAAAAAGCATGACAATTGTCAGTGATTGCATTTGTGAGCTAATTTTTCCAAAATTTGGTTCTTACCAAAGTTTATTAAAGTTTCTAACTATAATGTGTTCACCGGCTTTGAAAGGTCTTGGATGAATAAGTTGTTGGCATAAAGCTTCTTCTGCCAACAGAAAACCTCTTTTTTTGGGTGTATGGAATTTTTTACAATTACGGAGTAATTTGATTTAAATGTGAAATATTGGAAAACTTTTGTTTTTATTTTTCTCCAATTTAGAACTTGTGGCAGGAAAAATATGCACAAATACTCAAATGTTTTCAGATGTACAATCTATTGAAAGCAATAATTTATTGCACTTAAGACATGTTTATATGTGAGTTTTATATAAAGGTTGAAAGTGCTATTCAAGAAAGTAAAGAATCATTTTAATTTAAAGTAAACACACAAAAAGGCAAAAATAGTCAATCAACACCATAAGCCACTGTTGTTTTTTCTTACAACTTACAGATACAGCAAATTTTCAAGTCCTTCAAAAGCACTTCTGGAAATCTTTCTGATCTGGTTGTTGTTCAGCAGACTGAAAAAGCAAAAACAAACAAATAATTCCCAGATGAGAAACGGATTCTGCAAAACACTCAAATAGTTCTGCTGAGCACAGTGCTTCACACAGCACAAAAATATTTACTCCGTGGTCAGTAAACTTGGAAATGTATACTTTTAATTCCCTATCCAAAGAAGTGATATAAAACATGAATTTGTCACAAAGCCTTTTCAAAAATAATTTATATGCATTAAATTACCCTAAAACAACATTGCAATCCAGGAAGTAAAATGCATGTTTTCCTGAAGCGTATCATCTAAAAGGAAAATTAGCAGCATAGTCATGGTAACAAAGGAACACATTCCTACACAAACAGATGGAGAGTATTGAACACTCAGGCTGAGGCATCTTCCTTGGAAAAACAAATATCACAGCTGTTGGTACACAGTGGACTTTCACTGTGTATTTGTTAAACTGTCAAACCAAGAGACAATTACACCATAGGAAGTGAGGCCCTTATGACAGTACCATCCAATGGTCCAAGACTGATTTCCGAAAAATCCAGGAAGAAAAATACCTGGTGGCAGAAACAAATTGGATTTGAACAGTAAAACAGTTACAGAAAATCACCTTTCAGTAACTTTGAAAGCTTCCGAAAAGCACTCTGGCAAATGAAAATTACAGATTTTTTTCTGGTAAAAACACTTACAATTTATTTCAAATTTAAATTATTATGGAATGTCTAAATATAGAGGGAAACTCTGCTAATTAGATTGGCACACACATTCCTGAATATACTATAATGTCTAAAACCCCCAAGCTTCCAAAAATCTACTGCCAAAGTCCAATGCTGCAGGGCTCACTTTTACTATATTATGAAATATTTGTTTTGTTGGGTTATTTTATGAATAATTAGGAAAACAGAAGTGTTTTGGCCAATAGAGCGGATGATTATTTCAGTTATTATGCACAATTTCACAGGCAGCCTAGAGATCCTCAAGCTCATCTGTTCCTGATTTCACTGTAGGCCTCACCGTTTGGTTCCCCAAGCAGCATCTGAAGTGGCTGACACCTCACCTGTGGCACCAGGGCCATTTCTCACCATTTGTGACTGCCTAGTGTCCTGGCTATGGAAGGCAGAACAACTCATCTACAGCATGTGTTGGAGCTGATGCCATACAGAGATAATGTCAGTTTCCATGGAAATTCTTAGCTTCAGTCAATGAGCCATTCAACTTTGCAGTCCGCCATGTGTTCAAGGAATTTTTAAGCAGGCTGAAAGCCATATAACTAGTTAACGTATGATTAATATCAGACACAAGCCTTGTCCTGGGAGAATTTGCTGTTTAGGTATTCTCTGACTCTACGATACCAAATCAATTAATGCACTTCTGTTAGGTCCCCAGACCACCAACATGAAAATATATTTACTTGAAGAAATGACTTTTGTCCCCCTTAGTCTATTAAATACATGCACCAATGCATGTAGAATAAACTTTGTGTGTATACATACATATGTGCATGTGTGTATGTAATTTGCACATCTGCTATGATGTGTGTGGATGTGTGGTATGTGACATCGTCTTAACCACAGACCACAAAAAACAATTTGAGTGACTATTTTCTTCTTTCTTTCTTTTTTTTTTTTTTGAGACAAGAGTCTCGCTCTGTCGCCAGGCTGGAGTGCAGTGGCGCAATCCCGGCTCACTCCAACTTCCATTTTCCGGTTTCAAGCAATTCTCCTGCCTCAGCCTCCCAAGTAGCTGGGACTACAGGCGTGCGTCACCATGCCCAGCTAATTTTTGTATTTTTAGTAGAGACGGGGTTTCACCATGTTGACCAGGATGGTCTCAATCTCTTGAGCTCATGATCCGCCCACCTCGGCCTCCCAAAGTGCTGGGATTACAGGCGTGAGCCACCGCCTCCGGCCTTAGTGACTATTTTCTTATATCTTTCAATGATGGTACCTAGGGGAGAGCAGCTGATTCATTTCATACAAAAGATGTCTTTGGGCATCAGTGCTAATTATCTTTCAAAGCCACAATTAAGAAATGGAAAATATAACATATCATAATTAGTCTTTCTTTAGTATATTAAATGTGCTTGAAGCCTACATTTCTGCATTGTTTGTTATTAACTTTAAGTCCCAGGGTACATGTGCAGAAAGTACAGTTTTGTTACACAGGTATACACATGCCATGGTGTCTGCTGCACCCAGCAATCCGTCACCTACATTAGGTATAGATTCTATAGGTTCATGATTTTGCTATTATGGATAATGCTGTGATTAACATATGAGCATGTGTGTAGTTTTGGTAGAATTATTTGTTTTTTTGTTTTTTGGGTTTTTTTTTTTTTTTTTTTTTTTTGGATATGTATCCAGTAATAGGATTGCTGGGTCAAAAGGTAGTTTTAAATTATTTGAGCAATCTTCAACCTGCTTTCCACAGTGGCTGAACTAATTTACTTCCCAGTCAACACCTTATAAGCATTCCCTTTTCTCCACAGCCTAACCCACAGCTGTTGCTTTTTTCGCTTTTTAGTAATAGCCATTCTGACTATTATTATAGAGGTGGCATCTTGTTGTTTTGATTTGTTTTTATCTAATGATTGGTGATGATGAGCATTTTGTCATATGTCTGTTGGCCACATATATGCCTTCTTTTCAGATGTCTCTGTCTGTGTCCTTTGCCCATTTTTATTGAGGTTGTTGGTTTTTTTGGCTTGTTTAATTGTTTAAGTTCCTTCAAGATTCTAGATAATAGACCTTTATTGGATGCACAGTTTGCAAATATTTTCTCCCACTTTGTAGGTTGTCTGTTACTCTGTTTTTAGTTTTTTAGTTTCTTGTGCTGTGCAGAAGCTTTTTATTTTTATTAGGGCCCACTTGTTGATTTTTGTTTTCTTTGCATTTGCTTTTGAGGACCTAGTCAAAAAATATTTCCCAATACCCATGTCCAGATGGTATTTCCTAGATTTTCTTCTAGAATTCTTAGAATCTGAGGTCGTAGATTTAAATATTTAATTCATCTTGAGTTATTGTTTGTGTACAGTGAAAGGTAGGCGTCAAATTTTATTCTTCTACATAGGGCTAGCCAGCTATTCTAGCACCATTTATTGAATAAGGGTTTTTTTCCCCATTGCTCATTTTTGTGGACTTCATCAAAGATCAAATGACTGTTGGTGTGTGGCCTTATTTCAGGGCTGTATATTCTGTTCCAGTGGTCTGTGTGTCTGTTTTTGTACCAGTACCATGCTGTTTTGATTACTGTAGCCTTCTTATATAGTTTGAAATTGGGTAATGTGGTTTGCTAGGCATAGCATTGAATCTATAGATCACTTTGAGCAGTAATGGTCATTTTAATAGATATTAATTCTTCCAGTCCATGAGCATGGAATATTTTTCTGTTTGTCTGTACCATCTATGATTTCTTTTAGCAGTTTTTTTGTTTTGTTTTGTTGTCCTTGCAGAGATCTTTCACTTCCTTGGTTAGATATATCTGTACTTATTTGTGTGTGTGTGTGTATGTGGCTATGTAAATAGGGTTGCATTCTGAATTTGGCTGTCAGCTTGAATGTGACTGGTGTATAAAAATGCTGCTAGTACTTGTTGTATGTTTATTTTGTCTCCTGAACTTGGTTGGTCATTTACCAGTTCCAGGAGGCTCATGATAAAACTTAGGATTTTAAGGTATAGAATCATATTGTCCACAAAGAGAGGTAGTTTGACTTTTTTTTTTCCTATTTTGATGCCTTTTATTTCTTTCTCTTGCCTGGTTGCCCTTGCTAGCACTTTTAGTACTATTTTGACTAGGAATGGCAGGAGTTGGCATCCTTGTCTTATTCCAGTTCTCAAGGCTAATGCTCCCCATTTTTACCTGTTCAGTATGATGTTGGCTGTGAGTTTGTCATAGATGGCTTATTATTTATATTCCTACAATTCCTACTTTCTTGAGAGTTTTCATCATGAAGGGATGTTGATTTTCATTAAAACTCTTTCTGCATTTATTGAGATGATCATATAGTTTTTCTTTTTAATTCTGCTTATGTGGTGAATCGCATTCTTACATTTATTGATTTTCATATGCTGAACCAATCTTGAATCCCAGGAATTAAGCAGACTTTATCATAGTGGACTAATTTTTGATGTGCTGCTGGATTCAATTTGCTAGCATTTTGTTGAGGATGTTTATATCTATGTTCACCAGAAATATTGGCCTGTGGTTTCAATTTTTATTGTATCTTTACTAGGTGAGTGTCTCAAGGAGACATCAGTTTCACAGAATGAGTTAGGGAAGAGTGCTTCCTCAATTCTCTAAAACAGTTTTAGTAAAATTGGTGCCAGCTTTTCTTTGTACATCTGGTAGCATTTGGCTGTAATTCCATTTGGTACAAAGCTTATTTTGGTTGATAGGCTCTTTATTACAGATTTAATGTTTCTTTGTATTTTATACTTTATTTAACATTAATAAAAGAATACATACAGTTACAGGCAAATGAAAATTCAGTACACTTATTTAGATAATAGTTTAAAATTTACATCCTTCACCGTTATGGAATATTTTAGTCTATGTAGTCAAGTCTTCTGGAATTCCAAGAGTTTTATCAATTTTATTTTCTTCGAACCCAAATTTTCTTTTTGCCCAAGATTCTATTGCAAATATGTTATGAGTCCATATGTTAGCAGCATCTTTGGCTCCTTTACTTTCTTGACATATTTCTTCCACGACTTGTGGGTCACAATTTTTGTATTTTTCGACTTCTGCCTTTAGCTTGCCCTTTGGTCTCAAAGTGAAGAAAGTTCTTTTGCTGGCGTTGTTCGCTCTTCCATTTCACATCGGCCAATTTTAGCCTTTTCAATGCTTTCCTTTAGGCTTGCCTGCTTTTGGCTTCCCTCAGACAACTGAGATTCCAGGGACTCCAACTTAAGTTTCCTTGCATGAAGAGCTTTACTTGGAAAAGCCCAGTAATAATTAGAAGTTCCAATCATCTCACAGTCAACCATCCCATCATCAACTAAGCTTTGAAGGACTTCTTTGACTGACGAAGAAGTGATGCCTCTCTCTTCGGGAGAAATCTTCTCCAAGTCTTTTAGTTGAAATACATCTTTAGTTAAAAAAATATTTCCATCATGAGAGTTCTCTTCTTCTGCATGCAATCCTTTTTTCTTTGACATGGTACAGGCACAGGGGCTTCCGCTGGTGGGGCCTGGGCATGGGGTGAGGGACTGATTCAGTTTTTGAAGTTGATATTGGTCCATTCACCATTTCAGTTTTTACCTGATTCAATCTTGGGAGATTGTGTGCTTACAGGAATTTATCAATTTCCTCTAGATTTTCTAGTTTGTGTGTATAGAGGTGTTCGTACAGTCTCTGAGGGTCTTTGGTATTTCTGTGGGATTGGTTGTAATGTCTCCTTTGTAATTTCTGATTGTGCTAATTCAGATCTTCTCTTTTTCTCTTTGTTAATCTAGCTAGTGGTCTATTCCTCTTGTCTTTTTGAACAACCCACTTTTCGTTTTGTTGATTCTTTGTATGGATTTGGGGTCTCAATTTTATTCATTTCTGCTTTGATTGTATTTACTTCTTTTCTCCTACTAGTTTTGGGGTTAGTTTGTTCTTGTTTTTCTCATTTTTCCAGGAGTGATGTGAGATTGTTAATTTGAGATCTTCCTGGTTTTTGAGGTAGGCATTTATTGCTATCAACTTTCCTCTTAACATTGCTTTTATCGTATCCCAAAGATTTTGATATGCGATGTAACTGTTTTCATTTATTTCTAAGAATTTTTTGATTTCTGATTTCATTGTTTACCCAAATGTTATTCAGAAACAAGTTGTTTAATTTCCATGTAAGGGTGTTGTTTTGAAACTGATTTATATTTCTATTCCACTGTGGCCCAAGAGTATGACTAGTATGATTTTGATTCTTTTTACACTTATTGAGACTTGCTTTATGCTCAAGCATATGGTCAATCTTGTAGTATGCTCCATGTGCAGATGAGAGAATATATATTCTGTGGTTGATCAGCGGAGTATTCTGCAATTTCTACTAAGTTTAACTGGTCAAGTGTTGGGTTCAAGTTCATAGCTTTGTTAATTTTCAGCCTTGATTCTCTGTCCATTGTTTTCATTGGGGTGTTGAAGTTCATGACTATTACTGTTTGGCTAAGTCATTGTAGATCTAGAAATACTTGTTTTATAAGTCCTGGTGCTCCAATGTTGGGTGTGACTTAGGATAGTTAAGTCTTCTTGCTGAATTGAACCGTTTGTCATTATGTAATGCCCTTCTTTGTCTTGATTTTACTGTTGTTGATTTAAACTCTGTTCTTTCTGACATAAGAATAGCAACTCCTGCTTTTCTTTTTTCCATTTGCATAGCAGATTTTTCACTAACCCTCTGCTCTGAGCCTAGAGGTGTCATTATGTGTGAGTTGAATCTCTTGAAGACAGCAGATAGATGGGTCTCTTTTCTTACCAACTTGCCCTTCTTTGCCTTTAAAGTAAGCCATTTAGAATATTTACATTCAAGGTCAATATTCATATGTAAGAGTTTGATCCTATCACAAAGTTTTTAGCTGTTTGCTTTAGTTGTCGTTTCATTGTAATATATATACAGTGTATATGTATATATATGTGTGTGTGTGTATATACATTTAGTGTATAGCCTGCAGACTATATATATTACAGTGAATATTGTATTTATATACATATATAGTGTATACGTATATACATACATATATACGTATACATATATATGTGTGTGTATATATGTATATATATACATATACATATATATGTGTGTGTATACACACAATATTCATTGTTTTATATGTATGTATGTGTATATATATATATATATATATATATATATATATATATATACATATATGGTCTGCAGGCTATATGCTAAATGTGTTTTGTGGTAGCAGGTATCATTCTTTTGTTTCCAAGTCTAGAACTTCATTAAGGATCTCATGTAAGGCTGGTCTAGTGGTGATGAGTTCCCTTAGCACCTGCTTCTCTGGAAAAGATTTTATTTCTCCTTCATTTATGAAGTTTAGTTTGGTGGGATACGAAATTCTTGATTGGAATCTCTTTTTTTTAAGAATGCTGAAAATGGGCCCCCAAACTCTCCTGACTTGTACAGCTGTTAGCCTGATGGGCTTCCCTTTGCATATGAGCACTTTTCCCTGGAGCATTGACTTTGGACAGTCTGGTGATTATATGCCTTGGTGATATTTGTTTTATATCTATCTCACAGGTGTTCTACAGATTGTTTGTATCTAGATGTCTACATCTCCAATTAGATTAAGGAAGTTTTTTAAAATTATTCCCTCAAGTATGTTTACCAGGTGTTTGCTTTCTCTCCTTCTCTCTCAGGAATGCCAATAATTCATAGGTTGTTTTGCTTTACAGAATCCCATATTTCTTAAAGACTTCACTTATTTAAATATTTTTAAAATCGGATTATGTTAATCCAAAAGACCGGTCCTCCAGCTCTGACATTCTTTGTTCTGCTTAGTCCACTTGAATCTATTATTAAGTGAATTTGTTTTTTCTTCATGCATATTTCTTCAAAAAAAGCAGATTTACATGTGGAATATATGAGTGACAAATTCTAAGACTTCAAAATTCAAATGTTATTTGAAACATTATTTGAAAGATGTAGTTATTCTGAAAATTTATGTTAATGACCATGTGTTTCTTTTTATGTAGATTAACTTAGAAAATCCTTTATCTCATATTTTCACTTTGTTGTCTATTTTTCTTTATCAACTTATTAAAAACCCTTTGTAAGAAAAAAAACTTTCGTTTCTAATTATTTTTTCAAAGTTTATATAATTTCTACTGTTAGCTTTCTTTATTGTTTGTATTATACAGATATTTTAAATTTTTATGTAATAACATTTATTGTTCTTTTTCTTCAGGACTTTGGATTGTGTATTATACTTAGGTGTTCTTGAATCTAAGATTACATTAAAGTTCCCATTTTTTTTTAAGGTTTGTGGTTTCATTTTAATACTTTAATCTTTGAATTATCTTGAATTAATATTTTTTCCAAATTATTTACATATTATCATTACAATTGATTAATATATTTATAATTTCCCCTGTGATATGCAATATTAATGTAATTATATGAAAATCTCCAACATGTATCTAGTTCCCTTTCTAGACATACTACAAGGGAAATATTTCCAACATTATTGTTTTTTAATATTTTACTTTTTATGTAGGGTAGTTTCTGCCCTTCTTTTTTACTATTTTAATAATTATTTTTAAAGAATGGTCATCACCACAGCAGGGTGAACATGGCATCTCTATCAGACTATCTATGCAAGTGTCACCTGCCCTCTACCACCCAGTCATTGGCTTTGCCCAGTGACTGCCCTTTTCTAACAGAACAATAGGCCCACATGCTAAAGCATAAAAATCCACTCCAATTGACATACAAAAAGTGTCTGGTGGGTGGGGCGGATCCCGCACCTGAGATGGACTCACCTGGAGCAATTAAGGAACAATTAGGTTGTACCTCCGAAGATGTCTGCACACACACGGGGACCAACAGGCAGCTCATTTGCAGTGTCACATTTTGAAAAACGCAGAAAACCTCACAATCAAAAATCTGCACAGATGATTTCTGATACTTTTCTAGGGTGTCCACGTAAGATCAGTCGCAGATAGAAGGGAGGACACAGCCCTGTGCATAGATTTGTCTGACAGAGATCACCAAGGCTCCTCTGGGATCAGCCACAACGCCACCCTCCCTACAACTTACCTTCAAGAGAGCTTTTCCTTGGGCCAAAAACTAAACCGAAGAAAGTATTTCTGAGGGAAAATACACAGAAACATCACACACACACACACACACATTTGCGTCCATAGCTATATGTATACCTATGTATGTACAGTGGTCCCTGGGTATCTGTGGGACATTGGTTCAAGGACCTGCCTCTGACACCAAAATTCAAGGGTGCTCAAGATCCTTACATAAGGTGGGGTAGCATCAGCATATGACCTACATTTGCATGCATTAAATACGCCTGTGTACTCTACATGATCTCTGGATTACTTCTGTAACTAAAATAGTTTCTACGTATCACTTCATTCCCATGGATTCAATGTGGTACATGATGATGTGAAATTTAAGTTTTTCTTTGAAAGTTTGTGGGATTTTTTTCCCAAATATTTTAAATCTCAGGTCAGTTGAATCCAAATCTGAAACCCGCAGATATGATGGGTTGACTGTACTATAAATCATTTCTAGATGACATAAAATATAATGTAAATGCTATGTATTAAAGAGTTCTTATTCTAAACTGAATTTTTATTCGTATTGTTTTATTGTTGTCTTTTTTATTATTTCCCTTTAAATATTTTTATCTGTGCTTGGTAGCACTCTGAGAATCAGAACCTGTAGATTCAGAGGGCCAGCTGTGCTTACATGTATATGTAAAAGAGGAAAAGAGAGTTTGAGAATTAAGAGAATACACTGTTAACAGGGAGTCCCTGGGGAAGCATGAGAGGAAGAAATAAAAAACACAATTCCCCAATTTGTCAGTTTGGCTGAATGCCATCCCAACCTTCCTCAGTCTCCATAAATTAAACACATGCACATGAAATTTAAAAGCAGTATAATTTTAATGGACCCATCTCTTAAAATTCGTTGACATTAAAAGATAGCATTTGTTAATGTTCTTTTGGTCATTTCAGTTTGCAAAAGATAAATAGGAGGTAATAAGAAATTACCCAAATAAAAGACAAAAACACTCTGTCAATTGTTTTAATTAACTTCAGATTAGAATTGCGTTCTTCAACTATGAAGCTTTTCTGTTAAATGCCACAAGTGTCTTGGTCGTTTCACTGCCACTGCAAACAGCAATGCCAGAAAGAACGCTGGATTTCCATCGAGTTCTCACATGCGCCACACAGGGGCTGGGAAGCGCAGAGAAATATGACTTTGAAGAGATAATGATTTCAGGATCCATCAGTACTGCATGGAAATGTACTAAACGTTAGTAAGCCCATGCTTTGAGTGTTAAGACTTTCTTTCATGTTTAATTGCTAACATTCATTTTTTTTCTTTTACAAAATGACTGTAGCAAGTATGCATTAGTTTTGCATTAAAAAACAATGAAACAAGCACACTAATTTAAAAACACAAATGACACACGGTTTAAGAGATGTCCAGCAGAGCTACTTCTCCCACGGACCACGGAAAGGGAAGAGAAAGCCGAGAAAGGGGTTTTGAGAATTGTCCCTTTCTTTTTCCTTCTTCCTGTAATGGAAAACACATAAACACACATGCACGCAGGCACACACGCACGCACTGTGAGGGGTCTTCCCTGACAACCTTGCTCCAATACAAGGATTTCCAAGTGGTTATAAAACGTCTTTTGAAGAAAATCCCACCATTTTGAAAGTCGCTGCTTCTTTTCTGACTGCCAAGTTGCAGCTCCCTGGTGAGTCATTGTGCAAAAAAATGGCCTTCTGAGCCCCCAGGCGCTGCCTCGCCAGCGAGCTGCCAGTCACCTGGGCCTCCAGATGGCAACAGCAGGACTGAAGCTAAAGGGCAAAAACACTGGCTGTTACCAGAGCAGAGAATGGGCCAGAAATAGGAAATGCGAACACAGCAAAGTCTGAAAGGCGAGGGCCTGCACCCTGGGAGTCAGCAGGTGTTGGTATTCACAGGAAAGTTCTCTTCCGCGGACTGCAGTAAGCTTCACAGTAAATGAAAACTTGAATAAAAACTCTGGATGGACTGACGAGGGGCAGAATCAGGCTGCAGCTGCAACCAGGAACCAGGCATTACGGAACTATAGGACATTCTTCAGTAAAGTTTATCTGATTGTATTTACTTATTTTTTTTTTTTTTGCATTTTAGGTTTTGGGGCACATGTGAAGAACATGCAAGATTGTTGCATAGGTACACACGTGGCAGTGTGATTTGCTGCCTTCCTCGCCTTCACCTATATCTGGCATTTCTCCCCATGCGCTCTCTGATTTTAAAGAGAAAGGTGTGATAGTCTCCAGCTACCTGCTGCATGGTTCATGTTTTAGTTCTTTCTCAGCTCATGCTGAAGTGAGCCTGAGGGTGCAGAAACTGATAGGTAGCCTCACAATAGAAGTCAGTGCCTGGGGCCTCTCCCAGGGAGGAGCAGGTCTTCAGAAGAATAAACTTGAAATCCAGCTCTCTGTGGGAACTGGTAATTCCTAAAGAGAAGCAGTGAGGTTCAGTGACTGACATTTGGTGCTCTGTACTCATGCAGACTCAAGTTTAAATCCCAGATCCAGGTCCACCCTCCTAGCCTGCCAAGTAAGAAACACCTTCCTTCCCCTGCACGATTGTTCTGAGTGGTGCCGAGTTCGGCTCTTCATGAGAACTCAAAAAATCTTGGTGGCTTTTATTAAAAGAATGGTAAATCTGCTGGGCTCCAGCATTCATTTATGCAGGTAGATATTCTAGGACTTCTTGTATATTTCAAGAAATAATTCTAGACTTGGAAGCACAGTCCTGAAAGCATGACCTGTAACATAGATCAGACCTCTCTTGGGGTTCCAGAAATGATACCCCAAAGTGATGGCCTTTGAAGCAGACTCAGAAGCACAGTCTCTTTTGTCTCTCCTCTCTCATTCTCCCTCAAGTCTAGCCATTCACTGCCTTTCTATGTAAAAGAGCTGGTCAGCCGGGCGTGGTGGCTCATGCCTGTAATCCCAGCACTT